TTATGTAATATAATAATATAAAGAGTAATTATTGAAACCTGTTACTAAAATAATAATTATTAAAAACAAATAATATTGTTCTTATTAAAAATAGTTTTCAAAATAATTGAAGTTTGTAAGTAATAGAATAAAATAAAGTGAAGAGCTAGAAAATATGGTTAATTTTAGTATAATTAAATAATAATAATCAAAGAAGTCAAATTAAAATTATAAACAATGAGAATTTTTGGAAATAAAGCTTTCCGTATCATTAATGCTGTCGTCACAGCAACGGTATGTACTACTTGCAGCTCACTATAAACTCTGCTGTAGTGAACCGCCGCGCACCCTGAGCTCGTTTTAGCATTTTTTTAGGTTGGCGTTCCATATTTCTCGTCTTTAGACTGACATTTCATTGGTAGCATCCAGGTTCCGTTTTTTTTTTTAACCATACGTTTTCTATGGAATTTTATTGAAACATGAGTTATGTCGCTAGAGTATGTTGAGCGCATTCAGGGGGCCGCCCAAAGTGTGCAGTGTCGTTTGCCAGCCTACGCATTTCAAAATCGATAGTATAACAGGATACTCGATTCGCTTCAGCTCTTCTTTATTTGCATAAGTACAAGTTCTTTTCTAAGATATCCATCACCGGATCATATCTGCGTGGTATAATAGTTCACCCATTACCTGCTGGACCATTCTTTCATATTTTTGGTTAGCCCAGCCGTTCATCTACCCTGACGTTCGTGCTTCCAACGAATACGCGGTAGTAGCCGAGTTAACAACAGCGCACTAGTCGTTACTTCTTCCACCTGATCTTTCACAGGGGGTGGAGGTCTTCGTCTTCCTCCGCTTTCCCTGGCGGGTATGGTGTCGAATCCTTTCAGAGCTGGAATGGAGTTTTCATCCATTCGGACGACAGAACCTAACCAGCGTAGTCGCTGTCTCTAAATCCGCTGACCTATGACAATGTCGTCGTATAACTCATACAGCTCATCGTTCCATCGAGTATGAAATTCGCCATTGCCAATGCGGAAAGAATCATAAATCTTTGAAGGCCTTACATCGGTTATTTATCCTCCATAAGTCCTATAACGCTGCACCGTAGAACAAGAAATTCTGTGTGGTTGACATCATAGGCTTTCGTTTTGACTATCACAATCCTCCGAGGTCGACCATCAGCCAGCTAAGCTATTGGAAATTAGGCGCCTCTTCCGCAGCTTGTTGGTTTTGTGCCCAGAAGGTAAACCTGTTGTGTAATCTTACAGACAAGTAATAGACAACCTACTGTGTTCTTATTGTTGTTGTCCTCATGTCAATTATAATCGGAATATGTTTCTTTGTTAGCAATGCCAGCTCGGGGTTTTCAGTGACAAATCTAAGACTAAGCGAGTTAAGCCACAATATTCAGGATTAACGAGGTTTGGACCAAAATTGATCAATGCGCACCTTTTGATGGGACCATTAAGTATCATGGTCTTTCATTGTTTTTATATAGCAAGAATCTATCTCTATACATTGTGACATAAAACTAATAATATTTTAAAATAATAACAAAAACAATTTGCATGAGGTTCGGGTCTACCTAACCGACATACCTGAATTTTCATCCAGATAAAGATTATCAAGGAAAAAAATGTGATATATGTAGGTATTATGGGATTCGAAGGTTTTTGACATTTTGTATTGCTCATCATTTTGTCATTTATCATCAGTCATAGTTTAATATGTACTCAAGCTTTCCTAATTCTGTCTCAAATTGGTCTAAATTGTAGTGAAAACTATCGCAGAGCTTTCGGTGGAGTAGTAATGAGAAATAGCTGAAAGATGCTCAAAACCTTTCAGACCAAAATCGATACTACAAACTAATCTCACTCATAGCAAGTAACTGTATATCTATATACATATATCTCCAAGTACTTATACTTACAGTGAAGTCGTGAGAGTATGATGACTATCATTTTTATTAAATTAATTATCTGCTGTCGCTAAAGAAGCATTGAAAATGAAATAATGAGCCATCAAAACCAGTTTAAATTACGAATTGAATGAAAAAGATTTTTTGGCGAATTTCAATGCCACAGTCACTGTAAATACTCGCAAAATAAAGCCTTTTATATGCACACTTGCCGATATACACATGTATGTACATAATGTAACCATTCGAAGCATTCTTTATATTTTTTACAACGTCGTTAAAACTAAAAAGCTTTCGTATTCACGTTAACTGCTTAAGAAGCGCGAAATAAATTGAATTTAATTAGCACTAGAAATAGAAAATATAATATAAATCTATTAAGTTGGTTCTCATAATCAGATTATCTTCGCACAGTTCAAACACACGTTTGAGTTAAACTCGACAAAAATGTCTTCGTTCAGACGGTTGGCAAGTCACAGCATAGAAAAAAATATACAACTGAAATAAAACCACCTAGAACTTAACTCAAACTGATTAAGACTTTGCATAAACTATGTTTTCTACTGGCCATCAGCATAACTTCATAGTTCTTATACTTAGTACGCTCGTTTTTATAACCTGAACAAGGTGTATTCAGTTTGCCATGAATTCCACAAGATTTTGCATGGAATCTTTTGTATTTGTGAAGGGTATTCTTTTTTTCTTGTTTTTTTTTAGAACCGAGTGTGAAAAGCATTTTGAACTGGCATAAAAAACTCGCCGGTGATTAACTGGCAATCCATGCATTGTTTGTTATTAAATTTCGACAATAAAAACAAAATGAGCGATTTCTAAGAATCTTTGTGAGAAAGTTAATTAATTTAAACAGTTGCATACCAAAGAGCAGCTTGTGTTGTTGTTGTGGTGGTAGTGACAACAATAAACCTCAAATATGTATCTTCTAAAGAATACAACGGAGTTAACATTCCTACTCGGTATTAAAAACAAACTGGTAACGTAGAACCGACCAATATTCGAAAGATCAAATTATATGGGTTGTCTCTAAGCTCCACAAACGAAGCATACAACTTCTCTTTAGACAAGATAAGCTGAGAACACACTCTTGCATAGTACTTACTTGTGCTTCGTTTTGTTTGTACTCTAATTTTATTGACCGAAACTAGTGTTCCAGCTATTTGGTGATGTGGAACGTAGATTATTCTAATATACTAAAGAAAATTCGATTTCCGGCTTTCAGCTGAAAGAGATGATGGGTAATAGGAAAAGTCCGAAACTAGGGTTCCAGCTATTTGGTGATGTGGAACGTAGATTATTCTAATATACTAAAGAAAATTCGATTTCCGGCTTTCAGCTGAAAGTGATGATCGTAATAGGAAAAGTTTAGAGAGACCCAACCATCTACAATCTCAAGATGTGTTTAATTCAACAAAAACTGTGTTTCCAAAATGGGTGGCATGGTAAAATATTTTAGTTTGAGAGCATTCCTGAAAAATCAGCTAGAACTTGTAAAAAACACTACCTAAGTCCTTGCCTTAAAATTTCGTATTAATCAAAAATCACTTATAACTTCATAATTTTTTATTCGATGAATAAGCAGATCTGAGAAAAGCTATAAAACCTCGATAGTGAGAATAGACAGTAAAGGGAAACGCTGAGATTAAAGTGGATCTTTCACAAACGTTCAAAGTCCTAAAATGTTCAAGGCAAACCACCTAAAAATCAACAGACTTTTTGTAGAAAACTCAGTAATTTTTAAAAGTGGAGCAACTCAGTCAGTCACAGCCTACTTAAAACCAATGAAACTGCACGAACCTCTAAGGTTTTTGAAGACCATCACAATATAGCGTACCATATATGTAGGTAAAAATTTGGATTGAGTGACACA